TGAAAGTGAAGAGGACTTAAATACTGATGAAGATCAAAGACCACAGCCTTTGGTATGCTTTGCACCCAATGTAAAGAAAACAAAAATCATCACTACTGAACTAATAAACAACATTCATATAAAAGATTCAGGTTGTCAAAGACCATTTTGTTTGGATCAACCATCAGCACTCATGGAAGCAGCAGTCAAGAAATCAAACCACATATCATTAGACACATCTGCTGCACAAGACCTCTTTAAAATTTTGAAGAGCAGAGATATAATTTTGAGGACTAAGATGCACCTGACCTTAGCCATGATATTTTAAATAACCTCATATGCATGCAAAAGTTGGACAGTAAATAGGGAAGATTGTAGAAGAATTGATGCATTTAAGTATTTTTGTGTTGGAGGAGAATATTAAAATACTATGGACTGCCAAAAGAACAAACCAGTCTGTGTTGGAAGAACTATAGCTAGAATGTTCCCTGGAAGCTAGAATGGCCAGACTTCGTCTCTCATACTTTAGACATATTGTCAGGAAGGACCAGTCCCTGGAGATAGATACCATGTTTGGTAAAATGGAGGATTGGAGAAAAACAGGAAGTCTCCCAAGAAGATGGATTGGCACAGTGGCAGCATTGATGGGCTCAAGTGTAGCGATGATTGTGAGGTTGGCGCAGGACTGAGCAGTGTTTTGTTCTGTTGTGCATAGGGTTGCTGTGAGTCAGTACCTACTCGATGGTAACTAACAACAACAAATTTAACAGTTGGAGAGTGATTATGAAATGGATTTTGCATCTTATATGGCTTATGCATTTTACATTCCTCACTCTGTTATGCATTGTATTCTAAGTTTTAAAACGATGCTGTTTAATTTATAACTAACTAAGTCTCTTTGGACTAAGATGCATGGGAGGTTAGGTTTTGCTTTTAACTATTGAATAGGTTTCACAGTGCTTACAAATCTTGTAGCCATTTTTAACATGTTCTTGATTTTCTCACCTCTTTTAATGGCATTTCTTTATATCTACCTTTCAGGTATCAGCCTGGTGGACGCTATCTCTCGATGTCTCGCAGTCAAATATTTGATGATGTCTAACATCTGAGAGAAAAACTAGCTGAGCTCAACGCACGAGTTCAGTCTGTATAAACATCCATATGCATTGACCTTACGCTGTGCTCTGGGTAACAGTGTCAGGAGAACACAACAGGTGTGGAGAGTCAATAGCATCCTAGTACTAACAGCCTATCCATTGGTCATTGAATAGAATATCATCTTTTCTCATAAGATTTATTATATACCATTCCTTAAGTATCTGCCTTAGAAGTATGGTTAACCTGGAAGGATTTCATTCATCATAAGATCAGCATATGTTGAGAACATGTAGTTCAGGTTGCTTTAGATTAATTTTTTTCAGGAAAGTTTTGTTTTGTTTTGTTTTTCAAGGTCCAAGTAAGCTGTAAATGATAACTATAGTTTTATTATGATCATTTACATTTTTCTGTTTCTAAAAATGTTTAAACTGTGAGGTGGGACTTCAAAGTGTTCCTGGAAAACAGAATGAAATGATAATGGAATTTTTCAGGAACTTTTAAAAGCCCGTTCATACTTCCCAAAGAGATATAAGTAATTAAAGACCTCAAATAATCACCACATTCACAAAATCCAGGTCTTAAAACAAGACTTACCAGTGATAACAATGTATAAAGTTCTTTTTCAACTCTGTATGCAAATTCGTGAGGTTTTTGCATGTACAATTAAAATTATCTTTCAACTGCTAGTGTTAGTATCGTTAGCACGTTTAGAATAATCAGGTGACATATTCTTTCAGTCTTTGGTAATAACTGGACATTTTTAATGCTTTTGGTATTGCTTTGTAAAAGATTTTTACTTCAGAGAGAACTGGTCAGTTTTATCATTTAGCATATTAATTTTAGCTATTTATCATTCCATTCAAGGAGAATCCTAAGCATTATCTACAACTACTTGTTTTTGCTTTGTTTTTTTTTAAATTGCCAAAGAGTCCCACAAAAATCCCTAATATTTAAAGGTGCCGTTTATATTTTTTATAAAAAGAGCATCTGGTCATATAACGGGAAAAAGTGAATCCAGTCAGTGCTATTACTAACATTTAACATGTGGTATATAAAAAACTGAAAACGGAGGTAAACGTATTCTCACATAATTCCATTCTAGTTTTGTCCTTAGTTATGTTTAAGCCAAAGTCCGCTATTGTACTTTAAAGCACCAGTGTTTCATTTCCAAGTAAGCATGATCTTGTGCAACACGTTGCAGAAGTCTTTAGATTCTGGAATTATTTGCAGATTTTGTAGGCTGTGTAACTGGTGACCATACATGAGCTTGCTCAAGGCAGCCCCAGTTTCACTCCTATTACCAAACAGAAGGATGAGTAGTGCTCATTCTCGCCTCTCCCAGTTTGAAGGTAAACGATATGATCTCCCTGTGGTGCTGTAGGTAAAGCACTGGACTGCTCACTGCAAAGTTAGTGCTTCCAACCCACCAGCTACTCCTTGGAAACCCTATGCCAGGTGACTTTGAGGCAGAACCAACTCAGTGGCACTAGCAACAGCAACGATGTGATTATATGTTTCTTGAAGGTAATCTTCCTCTGAAATCATACATTTTTAATATTGTCTTCTTTAATTAGTGTTGATTTTTTTTTTTAAATGAAAGATACAATTCCATATGGGTAACAATAGGAAGAGCGTCATTTCTCTTATCTGATTGTTTCATTTTTTATGAACTTTGAGATTGAGATCCCCTTTAAAATGATTGCCAGTGAAAGTTTACTGTCTGAATGCAACATCATAGAGATTGCTCATTTGAATACACCCACACAAACACACTGCCTCTGATTGTGAAGTGTGGTCAGAGAGCTGTAGGCCAGGAGCAGAGATGATGTAATCCTGTTTAAAACCTCACGATTGCCTCATTGAATACTTTGGGCAAATGATGTAACCTCTCAGTGCCTCAGTTTCTTCATTTTCAGAGTGAAGATGATACTCACTGTCCAGCTACTGATCTACCTCACAGAGCTATTGTGAGGGCACTGGGTTAATGTTTATGTACTTGAGTCATTGGTCATGCTACTGTGACTAGTGGTACTTCAAGTTGTCAGATGTGGAAATGACCATTCCAGAAAGGGTCTGCTTCCTTATGATTACAGAGAAAGTCCCCCAAATAAAAACTTTGCTTCTAATAATTCATCAGAAGTCTTGTGAAGATAATGTTGTTTCTTAATGTGGTTTCATCAGGAAGCTCAGCTGCTGCTGTGCACTTAGAAGCAGGAAAAGAAAAGAAATTGTTCAATTACTTTTATGACCTACTTTTATAAGACGAAGTAATAGGAATGTGCTAGGGAACAATACTACTTTCCTTCAGTACTAATTTTTCTATGACTATAATAATTGAAGTATATATATAGATCCGTTATGACTTTCAATTTATTTCTTAAAATAATTTTTCATTGTTTCATTGATCCAGAGCATAAACAGTCTATCTTACAGGATCTTTATGCAAATCTTATAGGAAGGTTACCTTGCTTATTCTTTAATAATAGACTACTTTCTGGTAGTGTAGTGGTTATGAATCAGGTTGTCAGGAGTTCGAAACTACCAGCTGTTCCACAGGAGAAAGACAAGGCTTTCTGCTCCCGTAAAGATTTACAGCCTTGGAAGCCCTGTTCAGGGTCACTATGGGTCAGAACCAACTCCACAGCACTTAACAACAACAACAATTTTGAAATGTTAGTTGTTGATATTTTTGAAGTTGGTAGTCTGTTTGATAAAGTCAGCATAAAAATGGAAGATCACAACAAGGTGAACTGACACCATGGCAAAAACAAAGGGCTTGAATATAGCAGTAATTGCTGTGTTACGTTGTACACTGAGTCACTCTGAGCTGGAACCGACTCCACTATACCTAACAACAACAGTGTGTTTGACTCCAAAACCAGGAAAATGAAGAGATCATTCCTGGAAAACTGAGTTAACATTTATTTCCTTATATCCAAAACAAACTATAATAAGTACAAAAGGATTTCTGTTTTGAAAACTTGTTTAAATTTAATGACATTTATTGCGAAACATTACTAAATCCATAGACTTACAAAGTATACAGTTCATAAGGAATTACTTCTGGCACTTTTTGATGTCTTTTTCATCTAATAATAAATAACTGATTAGAACTTTTAAAATTACTTTGAAAAAGTAGGTAAGAATATTCAGTATGCTAGTAGTTAACTTCATGACTTACCTGTAAATTGTTAGGTAATCCTTTTTACTACAGCAGGACCTTGTTATTATCAATAGAGCATTTTTGTAAAATAGAACATTTCTGATAGTATCAGCTTAATGATTATAATTTGCTCTTTTACCAAGTGGCTACAAGGACCTCAGGATAACTACATCACGCGAGAGGTCCTCACTTCAGAGAGTGGTAAGAGCAGGTCAAATGCTCAAAGGCTTGTTGCCTCTTACGAAGAATACAGTTAAAAATGTTGATAATCCAAAGCTTCAGAAAGCTACCAGTTGATTTGTTCTTGGTTCATATGTAACTATACCATGCGATTGGGTTATCAGTTATGAAATGTACACTGGCTGTATACCCAAATTAAACTAAACGTGGATAGGAAAGTCTAGGGTTTTCTAGGAACCAACAGTAGCGTATAAATTCAGGAGAAGCAAGAAGCTGTCTGCTCCCATAAAGATTTGCAGTCTGGGAAACCCTGTAAAGGGTCACTATGGGTTGGAATTGACTCGATGGCAGTGGATTTTGATTTTGAGCATCTTAATGAAGGAATTTCATTTATTTGCAGTATTGTTGTTGTTAAGTGTCATTGAGTCGTTTCCAACCCATAGTGACCCTGTATAGGGTTTCCGAGGAGTGGCCGGCAAGCTTGGACCACCAACCTTGCAGTTCAAACCAACTTTGCAGTCTAGCTCATTAACCCACAGTGCCACACCAGGACTCCTGATTTGCAGTAGCAGATCTCATTTTTTAAACCTTTCATAGGTTTAAAGAATATTCTTGATGATTATTGATTGCCATATTAAAGGAAAAACAAACTCTCCACAATTGTTATTCACATTGTAAAGTAATGTGAGTTTATTGTACTTAGGAGATTTGAGTAGGCCATGCCAGAAAATTGCAAGATTAAATGTATTTGCACTTAGAAGCAAAAGTATGTCCCTGAAAAATCTTAATATACTTGAATCTCAGAAGTATAATGGATCATATTATATTAAGTTCTAAATGTTCACAGTCAACAGATTTAAGGACCTTTTCTTTCCTCTCTTCCTCCTTGCCTTGCTCCTTTCATACTGTTGAGGGTGGCTGACAGTTTGCTTCTATTCCTTTTGCATGCACGGTTATTCCGGATGATCAGTACACTTACACAATTTTCCGATCTTGCTACTTGACAATATTGTACTTAAAGTATGAAACGTATTCTGTTTATAACACAGCTGCAGCTGAATGTAAATCTGAAATATGCTGGCTCAGAGTGTAGTCTTGTAAGTCACTTAGGAGGGCACTTCAGTAACATTAGTTCTCATCAGTGTAAGGTTTGACGTCAAAATGGATTTCTACAAGAACAAAAGTGGATGCTAAGAAAATAAATCAAAGTATTAACCTCAAGATCTCTTTTTATGAAGAATAATTCTAATAGCATACGTAGTTGTCAAAATGTTCCTTGGGAGAGATTGGAACAATACAGGAGGGCTACATGAATTCCCTTGTGTAGAGTGTTTCTTTCCAACTCAGTGACTTTTGCATGCCCAGTGACTTGGCAGACCAGGCAGTGTTATGCCCTTTCCTGAATCCCAGAGGCCCGGGGCCAGTGAGCCATCTCCCTCCAGCAACCCCCGGTCAGTGCTGAGAATGTGCTCTCACCCCAGTTACTCCCAGCACATTCGATTCCTAAGTTTGATCTCCGTTTTCAAAAGGTAGGTTCACTGAAGTTTTAAGTTTCTGGGACATTGTTAATAAAACAAGAATATTGGCATGTTCCTTGCTTTTAACACATTCCTTAGGGAAAATTAACCTTTTTTCCCCTGAAAATGTTTTATTTTATGGTT